CCCCATCTATATTCTCTTTTTTTTCCTTCTTTTTCACAAAAAATCTAATAATAACACAAGTTTTTTTTCTTTATATATATATATATATATATATATTATTCTGTTTGTATCTATCACATTCTATTTATCTAACATTTACTGTTTCTTTTCTTTTTTTTTTTCATTTTCAATTTAAATTGAATTCATATCATCTACTTCTCCGTGATAATGATGTTCCTACACCCCCTTTAGAGGAATAGACATCCCATTTCACATCGTACAAAAATACACCTCCATAAGTTTTTTTCTGTCTTTAAAGAAAAACAAAATAAACAAAAACAAACAACAACTGTAGAGTGAAAAGTAAGTAAAAATAAACAAAAATAAAAAAATATATTACAAATAAGAACATGTGAAAAACCTTTCTTTTCTTTTTCTTTCTTCACAAAGAAGAAGTGAATTATTCTGTCTACTTGAACAAACAAAAAAAAAAAAATTCTATCTCTCTACTCTCAGAAAATAGGTACAGTGAAAATTAAGTATTGCAGAGCATTCGATGTATTCTCTTTTATCTTTTTTTTTTCTTTTCTGTTTATACGATTATACACGTATATATATATATATATAGTGTAAAGTAAGTGGGAAATTATAAGTATACTCTTCACTAGACAAGTGTAGGAAGAGCAACACTGAAGGTAATTAGGTAAGAAAGAAACAGAATCGTCTCATGGACCTCTGTGTGCATTGAACACAGTCATTACCTCCTCAACCATACCTCGATCGCAAACCCAAAATGAATAATAATAATAATAATAATAATAATAATAATAATAATAATAATAATAATAAGAGAAAAAAGAAAACCACAACATATTCCAAAAATACCAATAAATACTCAAAAAACTGTAACACATGCATACATGAAAAAGAAACAAAAAAAAAATTTTTGTATGCATAGAAGGATACCCATAGCATTCACACCCACATTATTATTATTATTTCTTCCCCGTAGGAGGCAATCCATACCGCGAAGGTACCGATTGGGGTTTACACCGTAAGAAATCATTCACTATTGGTGTTGGACTTACTACCCGTTCTTCTCGTTGTCCCTTCAGTTTATTGGGTGTTCGCTTCACCACAACAGGACTTGTACTCTTCTTTGCACTTTGTGTTTTTGTTCGCACAGGCGTTCCACTCGTAATACTCCGCGGCATGGGAGAGAGTGAAGATGCGGCTAAACGGTGTTGACTGTTCACATTTGTCATTAATGGGGTTCGCTGCGGTGTGGTGAAGCCAACATTTTGTTTAGATGAAGAAGAAGAAGTTGGGGGCGGAGAGCGACTGCTGCTACTGCCGCCGCGTGTGAAAGTCGCCCGGGCGGTGGGAGCCGTTCGCATCTTTTCTTCATGGAATTGTCGAACAACATCGGCAATATCAATACCATAGACTACTAACCGTCTACTGCTGCTGTTATTATTATTATTATTATTATTATTATTATTATTATTATTATTATTATTATTATTATGGTGGAATCCATATGTATCACTATTTTCAATTGTAACAGTTTCATTCCATTGACGTAAAAGTTCTTCCATTTGTTCATGTATTTTTGGTAATTCCCGTGAAAACTGTCGACGTGCATTCTCCTCAAAGAGAAGTTGTTTGGCCATGTTAATCTTTTTACTTAACAGTCGTTCACGGCTTCCTTCTTGAATAGCACGTTGTTGTTCAAATATCTCTGATCTTCTTCTTAGTAATGGTTCCACCTCACTGAGAATCTGCATACGATGACGGAGCATCTCCAATTCGGCTTTGGCCCGATTGACTACAGTTTGAACCTCCGCAATTCGTTCTCGCAGGACATCATTATCTGTACGGGGTGTAAATCCATTTAAGAATTGTTCCCATGCGCCCGTTTCTTCTTCTTCTTCATTCTTCTTCTTTCCTTCAGTGGTGATTCGGTTTGCGAGAAGAGTAGATGATGATGATGTTGATGTTGTTGATATCGTGTGAGAGATGTTTACATGAGCACTTTCTTGTAACCATCGTGAATAATCAGGTGCCACATAATAAGCCGCATCTCGGGTCTTTTCATAATAACAACGATACATTTCTGTTAATTCCCGTGTGATATCTTGACCAATCTCTACATGACGCTGAAGTAAAAATCGTTGCAGTTTCTCTCGAACAGAAATAATATAAGCAAGAATAGGCGCAAAGGATCGAACCGTAAAGAGTCTTACAAGAGGTGCTGGTAATGGAGTTGGCATACTACTATTCGTATTATTATTATTATTACTACCACAACTACAACCCGCATTATTATTATTATTATTATTATTATTATTATTATTGGCATGTCCTTCTATAGGAAAGATAAGTGAATTTGTTGATCGGTGAGACTTTGAACTGCACGTGGCTCGTCTAGAATTAACATTACTGTGAGAACTGCCGCCACTTTGAGAGAACACCTCAGCAGCAGCAGCAGCAGCAGTCAAACTTCCCTCCACTCCCGCCGTATCTACAGAGAGTTCATACTCTTGACGTAATAATGTTAGTCGATGCATGAAATGTGAACGTGAAAGTATTTCTTCTTTTTCTTCAGAATTACTGTTATCATCCATCCTTTCTTGTTGTTCTTCTTCTTTTTCTCTTTCTGTTTCTTCCGAGGTCTTCTCTTTACTGGTTTGTTCAAAAAGAGTCCAAAGTTCCTCCATCGATTGCAATTCCGCATCCGCCTGAGACTCCATTCGTGAGTTCTGGGCAATAATATCAGCGTAGATATTTTGAGTCTCGGCGTCTATACGGGCAAGTGATAAATCCTGCCGTCTTCCAAATCGAGTGACATCTCCCAAATCCACTTCAAAGATAGTCTTTCGTCCTTCAACTTCTTCCGGCTGAGGCATGAGAAGAGAGAAATCGCCTTGATGGCTACTACGCAGGGTAATTACATCATTCTCCAGACGGAGTTGTTCTGGAATAGAATCAGAGAGAAGATCCAGTTCATCCTTTGTATTGGAAATACATGTATGGCAAGTAACTGTTGTTGTGCGAGCAGAGGAAGGTCCCGGTGTTGGACACACTGCAGTTCCATTACATGTGCTGCTGGATGCCGATAAAGAAGAAGAAGAGACATGCGGCACTGACAATATTTGTAGTGGTGGTTGTTGTTTCTGTTCATTATTGTGATCATGCAATGGTGGTTTATGAAATTCTCCAGAGAGAAGTTTTTCTGCATATCGACTCCGTAGAAGTGTTTGTTGTTCAGGGGGAAGTTGTAATAATGCACGTTGTTTATATAAAAGAGAAAGTTGTTCTAATCTCGCATCTGCAAGGGCATTCATGCGTTGTAGTTCACTTTCCAAATTACGTCGAACTTCTTGATGGGTCATATTTCGTGCCAATTGCCACATCGCCGCCCAGGCTCGATCTTGTGGTGTCATTATATCTTGTGCGGCCGATAAGGATGGACTTCTGCTACTCGGCTCTTGTGTTCCTTTTTCTTTTTCTTTCTCTTGTTGTTGTTGTTGGGAATCGCAGGCCTCACGTATGTGTACAACGAGAGAATTGCGCTCTTCGCCTCTTCCTGCCAGTGCCGTTGCGACAGTGACAAAGGATGGTAACACCATAGACCCTGTGAGTTCACTGCTGCAGCCATCAGAGCCAATAGTAGTATTAGTAGTAGTAGTATTAGTAGTAGTAGTTGTTGTTGTTATTCCTTCTTGTTGTTGGGCAGGCACTGTGTCTATCCACTCAGCTTCCCATCCATTCATATTCATAGTATTCATAGTGTTCATATTAATAGTGTTAGTAGTAGTAGTGGAGTGGTATGTGTTTTCTGAGGTTTGCTCCATTATGGCCTCCACCAACTGTGCGAAGGCTTTTGCCTGCGGGGGTTCCTTCAGCCGCAGAGATGTGAAGAACATTTCACGAAAGAGTCGATCATTCTCAGCGGCCAGAGACATTTCCTCCGCCTCCTGCAATCGCACGTAATCCATTAGAAATGGCCAGAGACGTCCTTCTACAAATCCGGCCCATTTACATTCACGATCTACAGATGAAAGTCCAACACGTGTCCAGGCGGCCATCACTCGTTCCTCTGCGTGTGTAAAGGCATTTAATAACTCCGCCGTCACACTGTTGTTACTATTCACATGGGCGTTATTGGAGTTATGTGGATGATTGGCGCTACTCACACAACTGCTGCCGCGAGGGGCACTGCGGCATGTGTGAAGAGAGAGAAATGATCCACACGTATCCCGCGGTAACATTTTCTCACTCCACTGTAATGAAATACCTTTCTCTCTTTCTTTCTCTCTCT